CAATTGTTTGTGCCATTGTATGCGGCAATCTAAGTGTTCTCACATTGTGCGTTTGATTTTTTTTTTCTGTCATTATCAATGGAGTAGATAAATAAGTAAATAGACAAATCAACAACGAGTCAGACATCGACGACAGAAATGAATCAACAAACAAACGCGCACCGCACACACAGAGACAGACACATCAATGCGCCATGCCTGCATAATGAATACGTAATTTGTGTGTTTATTAACTTTATCAATCGTCGAGAGTGAATCATCATCGGAGCAGCGGCGACAAAGATGGCCAATATACGTGGTTAAAACCCATTGTAAATGAGTGTTTACAGTACAAACAAAACCAAAAACTGAATTCACATTTGCGCGAGTGTGAGGCAGGCGATGATGCACTATTCGCCCGTTAAAATTCCGTTGGAATATGCTGGTACATTGCGCAAAATTAATTGAATAGAGAGAGTGATCTATTAACAGATTGGCCTTTTAACTCCTGAACTGGGTTGAATATTTTTGTCTCGTGTATATAACATTTATTAGCTGTGTGTTTGCGTTGTAAGCGCGCAATATTCCAGTTCAGTGTTCGGTTGGCTGTGCTATCGTGTAGTTACAGTTCGTTAGTGTGGAAATCAGAGAGAGAGAGAGAGAGAGAGAGAGAGAGAGAGAGAAAGATGATTGTTTGACGTTTCGTTGGTTCGAGTAGAAAATTCGTGGATATGTTGATTTTTTTTCTTTATTGGAGGTATTCACGCTTTCCTTTTCCCGTTCAACGAGCATAGAGAGGAGGAGAGAGAGTGTGAGTTGGATTTGCATGCACAAGAAAAGCCATAATGGAATAACGTACACTTCGTGGGCTGTTGAGTATTGTCGATACGATGCCATAGTGGCTATAAATAAATGCCGCACTTTTTTTTTCCTCGCCCTCTCTCTTTCTATTCATTCTTTTGCCACGATATTTCCATGTCGGTGCCTTTTGGTGTGTGTGTTTCGTTGCTGAGGGAGAGAAAATTGTGTCTAGCGACAGTTTTTAATTGTACGCGTGTGCATGCAATATGTAGATAGAAAATAATGATTCGATTCAGTGTTATGTGACAATTTCAACAGTCTTTTCAGTTGAAACGCCGAACACACGCTCACACATTCCGTGTTCCAATGTACAGAAGAAAAAAAAATACTTTCCTGTCGATTTCTTTTGCATTTTCATTTATCAAAAACCGGAGCTCAAATAAAACAATGACATCGAGCACTCGTGAACAATGTCAAAGTTAGTTTTCAACACAAATTGACTGACTGTGTGTGTGTGTGTGGATGTTTCCTTTATACTTGCGTGTGATAAAAAGTTTTTCGCTCTTTCCGCCTCCGCTACCATCATCGTCGTTGTAGTCTTTTTCAACAATTTCCAAAACCAAGTCGTCATATGCTTTGGTTATGCCATGCACAACATAAGTCGTTGACTATTTGTGATCTATGCGAATGGTGCTACATCATCATCTCATTGTTCGTAGAATCATTCTAACCAGTGCAAATTACAAATTATGAAAAACAAATTATAAAATCCGTACAAAATACAGCGATTTAATACATCCGGTGCGAGCGAGCGAGCATTTGTGGTATACATTTCATCGTCGACCAATTTCTTCCATTGTAATTACAAATGTTGTGTCTGTCTATGCTTGTGTGTGTACTGTGTACTTGAATTTTCCATTCGTTCTGCACAATTAATGTGTCAAAAAAGAGAGATGAAAAATATCCCAGTCTGATTAATTGAAGTGAATCGGCGAAATGTGTTCAAGATGAAGAACGGCAATTGTTTACTGTCGAGTGCAGACAGCAGAAAGACGAGCAGAAACATTAACACGAAGTAAAACAAATATATTCCATTTAGACCAATTTGCACACAGAAATTCGAGAGATGAATTAAACAATTTCTTATGCAAATTCCCGTTTGATATCTCATTTCCTTCATAACCGATACTTCTGCACATAAACACAGACCAAGCGGACGATTTGTTTGTTTTCGCCAGTGTTTAAAATGCGATATTCGCACATTGTATTCCGTTTAATGTATAATTTACAAAAATACATATCTTTTAGTACAATTGACAATGAAAATAAATGAACTGGAGCGAAAACAAAGTGTCGAGAAAAAAAACACGAGAGAGAAATAAAACGCCGAAAAAGTACGAGTAAACAAAAAGTACCGTAAAACAAAGAAATTTTCGGTGAAATTTGACGAGAAAAAGAGAACAAAGAGAAATGTAGTATAATAACGAGCACCGCTAAAATTAAGCGACCAAAATGAGTGTGTTACGTTAAATCAGATGTTTTGAAGGCGTGTCGTAATTTTTTTTTTGTTGTTATACACGCTCTCCACATCCGAATCAAGCTCAAAGTCAATCTAATGGTGGGAATATACCAAACATGCAAAGAACAGAAAAAAATACGAGTGAAAAATCCCAATTCAGTGGCAATAGAAAAAAAATTGATAATTATTCAAA